GTTCGATATTTCTGTTCCCACCCACCACGGCTGAAATTATTCGTAAATTAGCTCGAATATTTACGAATCGAAGTGGAAAAAATGAAGTTTGTATTGTAGTATGAGAATTCCAGGTGTTATCGTCCGTTCAGGCGCGGAATAACATTTCTCGAACGATTTCAACGTGTCTGTTCCGATTTCTATTGCCGTGTGCCGTTATCGAGTTGCCAATCATCACCGGACGAACGTTGCCCGGTTCATTCAATAATAAATTATCTGACGCGCGCACGGATTGATCACGAACACGTACGACCGCCCGACGAAACTCAATTACTCGCCGATCTCTGTGTGTTATATTGTAACGTGTCCCGCGGCTGTTACACACGGTGCATCCCTGTTATTAATCGTAAACACACGGTCGCGTGGCGCGATAAATTCGAAACAGGGGTAAAACCACGGTGTAATTTCGATGGGCACGTTTTCGATTGTCTTTTCGAACTGATCTACTGATCGTTTCAATTGTCGTTGAACGGAGTCCTGTACAGACGGAACAATATAATTCACCGTTTGTTAATCAAATACATGTTTACGGGTCTGAACAAATTTGTTAAGCGGAAATTGACACGATTATTTAAACATTCGCTTGTCACGTTTTAACCCTTGTGCTTTTGCCTAAAACAGCATTTTGTATATTATAGGAAAGGAAAACTAAGAATTTCGAAAAAGTATCAAAGTAAAATTATCTATATTTATGTAATCTTTTTGAACAAGATATTTGTTGTACTCCGATTGCTCAATAACTATAAATATTTTGGTTGCCAACTTTTTGTCGTTAAAAGAAACCAAACAAAAAATTAGTACTAAAGCGAGGTATCCTAAGGCTCCATGCGACCATTTGTGTGATTTTCGGATTGAGACTACTCAAAGGTTAAAGACTGATACAAGATTATAGTCATAAAAACTGTCAGGTAGGCGACTGATACCAATCGTCTCTTAAGTTTGCTATAGATTTACGGGAATATTCTTACGCCAAGCTACCCGAGACCTGCCATTAAATAAAAATCTTACAATTTCAATATGCAATTTTCGAATTATTATTCGCTAGAATCGTCATTTGGCCCACTGTGCTCGAATTTCCAAAGATTTCAGGTGAATATATACAGAGATGCGACGTCGTCAGGTTGACGAGAACGCCGTCTATCATAGACGTAATACATTTCCATTGTCCGTCGACAATTTTCGCGCGCGCGCGCGCGCGGGACCGGGAATTCGTCGTTGCTCAAGTCTCTCGCGTGAAAAAATATCCGGGCCGCGGGAAGACGGGAAAAAGTATACGACAGAATAAAAAAAAAAAATGAAAGAAGAGACCGTCAGGAGGAGAAGAAAAACGCGGGAAAGAGGAATAAACGGGGAAAAGGCGAAAAAAAAAAAGGAAAATGGAGACCTGAAGAGCTGGGACGTATAGGAGACTTTGAAGTGGGCGCATGAATAAAAAATGCGACGGCAACACGCGCCCGCGACCTATTTCAGCTCTGCCCGCGACGAGATGAATATTAAAAGGAAACAGTTCGCGAAATGTTCCGGGCCAATTACCGGTCGGGGGAATTTTTCCGAGCGGAATTTCGGTCGACGTCTTGAGCCTCCCATCCCTGCTTTTGAATACGTTATCGATGTCGAGGTGACAAGTTAACCAAGAATGTTTTTCTTTTCCTTTGTGACGTTTCTTCTACTGTGCTATAACTACTTGTTGCTGTCAATATTATCGAATGAATTTATAAATTTTAACTAATTCTTTGACTGGCGAACAGCGCCTTTAGACTTTCTCCGTTCGTTGTGACAAGAAATACGAAAATGAGTTTTTGAATCTGTTGTTGCTATGCAACCTTCGTACGCTTGTTTTGTGATAACTAGAGTTGTTAGATTTTATGAAATTTATTGAAACAATTGAATGTTTTTCAAAATTATGAACAACATTTATGGGCGTAGCCTGGTTATCAGTCAGGGGGGGGGCAAAAATATTAACACATCTAGAGTGAAAAAGGCTGTACGTAGCCAGACACACTTGAACATTGTTTGAATATGAAATAAATTATTGAAAAAGAATCAATATTTAATCATTTGCTTATTTTAATAACTCATTTCACTCGTTTTTATGTCTGTCTGCTGTTCTATTAAACGTCTACGATAAAACCGAAATTTTCCAAAAAAGCCTCTCTCGTGTTCGTCGTGATTCTGGGGTGGGAAAGTGACACGCGAGTGGTACGCGCATCTGCGAGCATCGTAAAACTAATTTGCAGACTTAAATTACCTTCTAACCTCGTTTAAGGGAACCTAAGCAACCCCGTGGCAACCTGATTTAAGAAGACTGAGTGGTCAATAAAAATTGCATTGCCATAGTTGCCGTTTCATCGGTCGAGGGTCCTTCGCCAGGAATAAAACGTTAGCCCAACCACCCCTGATACAAACGAAAACCTCCCCTTCGAGTCGCAGCTTATCTGTCGTCGGAGCATAATGCAAACAGTTGGCCCGAAGTCTGAGGATGTTATTCCCAAGTGATCGAAATTCAACAACCTCTGGTTCGAGGATCGCGAAGTTCTCACCACTTCCCGGTTCGAGTGTCTAAACTAAATCAGTTTACTTAGTTTAACATCTAACCCCACTTAATGCCAGCTTAACACGCCGACCGCTTTGATTTTCGCTATCGGGAGAAAATGTGATGATAAAATGTAACAAAGTTTTCTGTTCTTAGGAACATCTAATCCTGTTCTGGCAAAAAAATATTTCACCCTCGAAGATACAGCCCCTGAATACGTCATTCTTTTTTTTCGTACTTTTACAAGGCAGCAGCGGGCTTTTTGTTTACCTTTTAATTTAATAATTGTCTATTTTTAATGTTAGGTAATTAGGATGAAAAATACATTTTTCGAGTAAAAAAGTATTACAGAAATAGAGGATCTTAAGGGTTAAGCGTTGATTTGTACATCGATCATTTCAATTGTCAATCTACTGCTCGTTATACAGGGTATCGAAAGAATATAGCACTCATTTCGAGGGAACGAAAGGATTATTTAATTCACACGAGTCCTAAAACCAGTCCTGTCGGTGTGAAATATAGAATGTATTCGTATTCACAAGTAGTTTTCAACGTGTACGTTCATCCCTATTTAATGATTCCTGTTCTGGCGCGTATATTCGCCTGACGTACAGTCACCTCGAAAAGTAAGTGAACGGTCCCTGTAAACAGTTAGAATCTCGTAAAAATTATTCCTATGAGACCAGACGTTCTTGTGTTTCTTGATAATTTATTAAAGATTCACTGGCGTGTTCAGCAATTATTTTAGCAGTGTCGGTATAAATATTCCATTAATTACGGTTGGTTGTCACATTACTATAATTACTCGCATCGTTCAATTAGTCGGTTGTTAATTTATTTATTACCGTGCTTCCAAATTGATTCTTCTATTTACATTAAACGCGTTACAAACTCAAAAAGCTCACGTCATTGTACTCGCTCATAAAGTGAACAAATGCATTGTAGGTATATACCAAAAGGATCGATCTCGAATCTGAAACCATTTTCCTTAACCCTTTAACGCCCAGACCCCTAAATCGTTATTTCAAATTTATAAGACTCGTATATACGGGATGGTCGGTAACTGGTGGTACAATCGGGAAGAGGGTGATTCTGTATAAAAAAATTAGTCGAAAATATTGAATAAAATTTTTTCATTTGACGTGCCGTTTTCGAAAAATATCGACTTTGAATATCTGTTGGTTACGCGTACAATTAAATAGGACTTGGCTAGCGCGTCTGTTCATTAAATTCTGTTTCTACTTGCTATCACGATGAATACACGGGTTTCAGATTAATTTTCAAAGCCGATTTTCTCGATAACAAAGCTTTATACGAAAGCATTTAATTCCATATTTTCGATTTATTTTTTTAGGTAGAATCACACCATGTCCGATTCTACCACCACCTACCGACCACCCTGTATATCTATATGTTGTATCTTATTATTTTAAAGTCGAAAGTATCGATATTAAATCAAATCTATTTTTTCTTTGTTTGTTTTCGCAGGGAATAACTTGCATTTCTCAACCAAAAACATTCAGATCTTCTTCACATCGGTAAAAGAACGGATCCTCGCCGACAAAAATCAGATACTAATCGGCGACAGAATTTGACGCACTTTTAAAATGAATATTTCACCAGTGTAACACTGTCAGTTAAATGATTAATGCTACATTGTGTAACATAACTATAAAACCACCCTAAAATTTTCAATTCTATCGTGGTTTAAATAAAATCGTCCCAAGTATGCCATATCTGAAATCCTGTCGAGAAATAATATTCCTCCAGAAAAAGGAGAGGTTGTATTCCCTAGACAAAAGTGGTTCGTTCTTATTTCAACCGCAATACATAAGGATTGAAATTTTCAGGATGATTTTGTAGTTACGTCACGCAGTATCTACAGCTTCTGAACATTCACCGCGAAAAACCTGGAATGTTCCTCCCCCAATCGAACGTCAAACGGATCACAATAAACAGTCACCAGCAGTAACCATAAAACTTCAACTTCACCCTCCGTCAAAGCCTGCGAACTTCATATTCCAGGTGTTCCAAATACATTCCCGCGATAAAATACAGTCTCTCCTGTCATCAATCTTGTTTCCACCGCTACACCGAAAATCGATTAACAGAAAAGAGGTCGAGCAAAAGCCTCCCTCCCGCCCTCCCTCTGCGATACTTTCTCCGGACCACCCTGACCGTAAAGAAACGAAATTGTCTTCGAACTTTGTGCTCCAGTCGTTCGAATACACATTGCCCGCGATAACAGAACATTTCCTCTGTCCGTCGATCGTGTTCCCACCGTTACACCGAGGATCGATTGATCAGCCGAAACAGGTCGAGCTGGAAAAGGTGCTCGTTTCTCGGGACACTTGGGGCACGGATTAAAGGAAACGTGGAGCCATTGTGCCATCGTGTGGAGACAGGAAAACGTGGATTTCGAACTCACCCGCCACCAGTAATCGCGCGAAAATTCCCAACCACCACCGACACAGAAAGCTGGACGAACACTCGCGCGGAGCGGGGCTCGCACTGAGCTCGCACGCCGAAACGAACGAATCCAGGGTCCTCGTGCGCTCCTTCGGCACCACTTGCTCTCCTCCATCCGCCGCCGCCACCACCACCGCCTCCTCCCCTAGCCCTCCACGTCGAGCACGATGCGCAACCTCGGAATATTTATGCCACCCCCTCGGGCCAGGTGTCCCCCACACACCCTACGGAACCAGGAAGGGGGTGGGGCGGTGGGTGTTGAGACGAAAATTGTTTCACGACTCTGAGAAGCCTGGACTGTGGGCTAGCTGACTCCTCGATATCCACCGCCTCGTTTCCGGCCTGTTTGGCTTTTCCCTCCCTTTTTTTTTTGTATCGTGAATGCACGTGGTATTTGGTTTCAAGGGGGAATGTGGTGGTTTAACCTTGGGGTGTTCAAGGTCAAGTGGAGCTGATATGAAACGCATCGATGTCGCGTGGGATGTTGGGAACAGTCACTTTGGAGATTAGAAATGGAGTTCTTGAGTGCTTTTGGGAGACCTGGATGGCGGGGTCTTGTTCTCTTTGTGGTTAATGTGAGGTCCCTGAAAAATATAACATTAATGTTATGTACAATTCTTGTTGGAGAACTATTTGGTAACATTACTGTCTCGTACAATCTTCTCACGATCTGAGATTATTAGACTGTCGATTTTAATCGGATCAAAATTTTTATCGGATGCAACGAGTTTTCGATTTGATTCATGACCCAATGATACACTTAAAGAAAGAAAGGAATTCCTACTTTTCTTCGTGTCTTTATAATTTACTTTATTGAATGTCAATTTGCATACAAAATCCGTAGTCTAATGATAATCTGCGACGTGTGTTAATCTTCATATTTTATTTTATTTAATTAACATCAAGCGCGCAATTTCTGCATTAAACGTTTTCTGAAAATTCCTCTCTATTTACCGTACAGAGGAGGAATTAATTAACCGACGGTATTTCAGAGATAAATTCGGAGGAAGCTCCGAATATTTCATGGATTATGCATCTGTTTCTCTGATTGCGTTTTCCGATGAAATAACGTAACATCGTTTCCAGGCGAATTTCACAATCATTGATCGCAGAAGACTGGAAACGTGAGCTGAACAAAGTTTATATTAATAAGAAATAAACACTCCGAAGTTCGATGAAGGTGCGGATGAAGATTTATAGATAAGTTTAATAGAACGTACACGAGTGTACGATCCCCCTACTGGCCACAGTAGAACGTACCCGTATGTGATCAGACACGAATGCAAACAGGTGGAAATCCATCAATCACCTGTGATATCTTCTTTCCGATAAAAGATTCTTATCTGCCATACTTCACCATACCATATTCACTCGTATCTTGCCCTGTGTACCTTGGCGATCCTTAAAATCCAGCAACTGCAGTTAGATTTTCGTCAAGTGGCATTCTAGAAAAAAATCTACTGTGTTACGTGAAAATCTTCAATTCACATTTACCTTACAAAACATACTTTTTTTGGACGATAATTAAAATAGACATTTTTAATTTAAATTTAATATATAGGTTGTTATGTATCTGGTGGCACAATCGGGTAGAGGGTGATTCTACGTGAAAATATAAGCCTAAAGCAGTGATGGGCAACCGAGCCCGCTCGGGCATGTTGCTTTTATTCAAAACAGGTAGAAGCAACTTGATCTTGTAGAGTATACTTGATAAGTAGTATTTAAAGCAATTATTATTAAATTTATACAAATACCATTGTAAGTTGTATATTTTCTTACGATTTTTCATTAAAAAATCTCCACTCCTATTCCTAATATCAATTAACCAAAAAAGTAATAAGAAATAATAAATAATATCAAAATAATTAATTCTAAAACTTTTAAGTTTTGGAAGAAGTTCTAGAACTAGTTCCAATTTTCGCCACCCCCAAAAGGAAGTGATTTCTGTTTATATACTTTTATCATTATCAAAATTACTCCCCAAATAGTGACGTATAAAGCTTGAGTCTTCGAAGCTTTAAAGCTCAGCCTTAAAGACTCAATCTTTAAGGCTAATATCATATGAAGCTTGAGTTGGCGAAGCTCGAGTGAAATCACTTCTATATCTTGCTTAAATATGTGTAAGTATTTTGCAATAAAAGAATCTATCAGTAATAGTTTAATACTGTTAGGGGGTCGCAGAAATAATTCACAAAGAACACGCTTTTCTGGACGTTACTCTTTAATAATAAAGCTTAAAAACCTAGAGTTTCATGTAATTAGACTTGAAGACTGAAAATATTCAGGTTAAGTTTCAAGGCTTCAAAAACTCGAGCTTCGTACATCACTTCACTACATACAATTTATACGACTCGAGCCTTCGAGCGTTAAAAACTCGAGGTTTCACGGCTCAAGGTTCGAACCTCGAGGGTTCGAGCCGTTAGGGTTTGAACCGTCCATCGATCTTTTAAATCTCAATACTCAAGGCTCACTTTACCAACACTGCCCCGAAACGTCAGTTCACATTACAATCCACGCACTTGCTTCGAGTAACACAGTATTATACGCTAATGATCGACCTTCTCTCGAGTAGAATTTACTATCGTAAACGGGGATCGATGATCGCCACCCATCGATACCAGCCGTGGGCGGTCATGGGTATCGCCGTGATTACGACCAGCCAATTTGTTCGACGTCGTGGTCAGGTCGAATTTCGTACGCATTCCGGTTTGTGAATCAACGAGAAATGGATTCGCGTGTGTCTCTGGTCTGGGTTTCACCGAAGGATTCATCGTCCACCAGGTTACATGCCTCCACGGTAACGCGTGTTTCCATGTAGGTAACGCTACACGAACGAAACGAACGAACGAGTGCGGCGTAAACGGACCGACACGGTCGAGGCACAGGGGAACGCGGCGCGTGAGTGTAACGTTTAAATATTGTGCGGTGCCTCGGGTCGGTTAATTGGTCAGAGCAAGCCAGTTAGTTTCCATTACGTTACCTCCATCTTCGTGGGTTTCGGACAATGGAGGCCTCTTCCAGTAACGGGGCCACTAGGCCTGGCCGGCCGCGCTAGAGCCCCTTTATCGGAACGAGACACGCGCGTGTGTCCCCATGCCCAAATCCCGTCCGACCCGAGGATTCTGATGCCAGTTTCGGTGCCATCGTGAAATTTTAGTACAATAGAGCCCCCTATGCCCTAAAGCCTCGTTTACACGTTTGAATAATTTTCAGAAACTCACTTGTGCTATTCACATTTGCATAAGCGAATTGTTGTGTTTAAATGGAATCCCCTGGCAAATAGTTGCTATTATTTTTTTTATTATTTAGTTTGTAATGAGTAGACTACGGATTTGATGCATTTATTGCTTATAGGGGTCTGTAAAATAGGGTAAAACACAAAACTTTCATCAGATCCAACGAGTTTTTTAATCTATTCAGAGCCTAAAATGATACTTGAGAAAAGAATGGAATTCCTAGATTTGTTTTTTTTTCTGTATGAATTGCTGCAGAAGATATCATTTTGCATAAAAATCCGCAGTCTAGTAATGGGTAATTGAAATTGTGGTTTATTCTTTATATGTAGGTGTAAAATAACTGTGCAAGGTAAATTGGGTGTGTGATGCACAGGTCAGTTTGTGCAAATTATTTGAATGTGCAAACAAGCCTTACTGCAGTAAAACCTGGATTAGTACCCAAAATATGGAAAACGTTCTGTCATTCGGACAGTGTTTCTAAACAACAGAGACCTTCTCTTGTCTACAAATATCTAATGTTTATGCCTATATACATACATACAACGTAGGTACTTTCTTCTGTTGGGTCTAATTCCGTGCCAGTTTCCTGTGTTAAAATATTTCTGTAATTTAGAAACCAAGAAGATATGGGATACATGAATAATTAAAGAAATTGTCAATTTTTTTATTTCTGTATGAATACAGTAGTATAGTATCAGAAGAGCGATTGTTAAATTATCCGAAGATTTCTTTATTCGAACACATATGTCTCCCTATTAGTTTGGATATGGAAGACTTTAGTGTATATTATAACAATCGTGTATATAAGAATTCTCACCGTTCGTGCGACTTGAATGAAGCAAAAAGAAATACTTGACTGTAATCACACTATACAAAAGCCTCTCGTAAAATACTAATTAACAAACATATTTGCATTTGTAGATCCAGTTAGTCTCCTCTACAAATTACTACACCCTTCGTTAACACCGTTTCCATTTATCCTGCACCCATCCCCCAAGGCTTATCTGCCTTTATTCTAATAAAAGAAACATATTTTTCAATTTTTACTCAAATTTAACTTTTCATAGCAAATGGTAGTTTATTTTGTACACATGACTTACTCGTCATTATTCAAGAAGGGGTCATTTCCTTATGACAATTATACTCGTAAAACCCTTTTCGATCCCTTCGTTCTAATAAAAGAAATGTGTATTTCAACTTTTACTAAAATTTCAATTTCTACAGCAAAAGGTAAAAATATTTCATTTATTCAGATAACTTACTCATCATTACCAAAAAGTGGTCATTTCCCTATGACGAGTATACTCGTCAAACGCAGTTAAAGTGTTAAAAAATTCAACACACCACAAAATTCTTCACTCCGCGATCCCACAACCCACGAGGAAATCCTCGGATGATTCTTGTCGCTCCAACCGTACGATTCCCATTTCCTGGCGGCAAGAATCATTCGCGCGTCGGACGTTTTTCAAGGAAAAATCGGCCGACAAAGAAGAGGCGGGAATAGCGTTGTTTGCCGCGAAGGATCGTCGAGGGCATCGTTAATGACCCGCCGTAAGTGGCGAAGAATTGCCAGCTCGCACGCACCGCTTGCGCGTATATACCCTGATCTACTGACTAGCAGGGCCTCTCTAAAATTGTGCGGGACCACAACGTCCGCAGGTTTTGTTATCCCGTTGCAACGAGCGAGGTTGACAGAGCTTAGTGCAAGGTTAGTCGGCGATGAGTGAAGTGCCAGTCCTCTCTGCGGCCACAGTACATCGGTAGCGGCCTGGGACCGGAAGGATTTAGGGCAGGATCCCTGCCGTGAGCGAGTGAGTACGCGATCATCTCCTGTCTGCCTCTGTTG